ATCATATCAGGAGATCAAGACCTGAGTTTCTCACAGAACATTGCAATGAACTGTGACAAAACTGAAACAGTATGAATAGCAGGAAACAATTATCTCTTTCTTTTCTCCCCGTCATATCAGCCTCTGTCTTCCTTTACATTTTTTTTCTCACGGGTAACTAGGCTCTCAACAAGTATGCGGTTATCTGGAGGTGCCACAAAGTCTGGAAAGTGTTAGTTATACATAAAATAAGCCATCATACGAGTCATGCTTAACTTGCTGCAATGCAAATATTCATCCAGTGGGTATTCTCTGTGTAGCAAACTGCAACATTCCCATGTCTGCAAGTGTGCTCTGCTGAACATATCAAGTAATTGTACCCACTATACCCATCTCTACAACACTGGATCTATCGAGTACTCATACGCACTATACCCATCTCTACAAATGTGGACCTATCAAGTAATCATACTAAGTATACCAATCTCTGTAACTGTGGATCTATCAAGTAGTTATACACAATATACGCATCTCTATGAATCTATCGAGTACCCATAAACACAATACCTATCTATACAACTGTGGATCTATCGAGTACTCATAAACACTATACCCATCAATATAAATGTGGACCTCTCAAGTAATCATACTAATTATACCAATTTCTACAACATGGGATCTATCAATATTCACTACACCCATCTCCATAACTGTGGATATATCAAGTAATTCTACTCACTATATTTATCTGTAAAACCATGGACCAATCAAGTAATCATCTCACTATAGCTAAGGAACCCATCCATCCATCCATCCATCCATCCATCTTCTGTAACCGCTTGTCCTATTCAGAGTTGTGGGGCTCCGGGGCTTATCTCAGAGGTTACAGGTGCAAGGCAAGGAACAACCCAGGACACGGCACTAACCCATCACAGGGCACACTTACACGTGCACACCTATGTGCAATTGGGTAACTCCAGTTTACCTCAGCATGTTTTTTGGACTGTGGCGGGAAACCAATGTACTCAGAAGAACAAGATGCATGTAAAAGCCCCAAGATGCATGTAAAAGCCCCAAGATGCATGTAAACTCCACATACATGGAGCCACGGCAGAGACTCAAACCCTGGTCCCAGAGGTGTGCAGCAATAGTACTAACCACCATGCTGCACCTAGCCTAGGAACCATATACTCACTACACCTGTCTTTACAACTGTAGACCTATCAAGCTATTGTTCTTAGTACAAATATCTCAACATCCATCGATCAATCAAGTACTTCTACTCACTATACCTGTCTTTACAACTGTAGATAAAACAAGCAACCATACTAACTATACCCAAGGAACCATATTCGCTACACCCATCTTTACAGATGTGTACCTATCAAGTAATCATACAGTAATCACTGCACTCATTTCTACGACTCTGTTCATCTATCATAAAACTCACCAGTAAACTCATCTCTACAACTGTGGACCTAACAAGTAATCATTCTCCTGACACCTATCAACTGCTGAATCTATTAAGTAGTCAAACTCATTTTTTATTTAATCTTCATCCATCAGCTGCTTCTACTTCATCCATCAGCCCCCCCCTTTGGGCACGGGAAGGTGGGGGGGGTGACAGTCCATTGCAGGACACACACACACACAAGCATCAACTATGGGCAAATTAAACAACCACCTCACCGAATAATATGTTTTTGGACTGCAGGAGGAAATCTGACTCCCCACACAAAACAGGGAGAGTATGAAAACTGGGGTGGGATCACCCCCCCTGCTGTGAGATGACGGTACACCACCATGCATCAGCAGAATGCTGTCTGCAAGAATGCGACTAACTTTCAATTTAAAATATTTAGCTTTTTCTTGTTTTCTTAATTTCTTCATTTGTTCACAGAGACTGTTGTTTTCCATAGTTACTGTAATTTTATCCGGTCATCAGCTACTAAAACTTAATATCTAACAGTGTAAAGACATTGAACCATGACAACGAAAGTCATAACATATTTTAATGTCCCATTTTTAAAAACACATTAATTGCTTAATTATTTAATTTCATGTTAAAATAATAGGCCCAAGATCGACCCTGTTTGAAAATACAGCACCTTCCACAATTAATGGCACCCCTTGTAAAGATTTGCCATCCCAGTCCCCTGACCTGAACCCCACTGAAAACCTGTGGGCTGAGCTGAAGAGGAGACTGCACAAGAGAGGGCCTAAGACCCTGGGTGATCTGGAGAGATTCTGTAAAGAGGAATGGACTCGGATGCCCTGCTCTGTATTCTCCAACCTTATAAAATGTTATAGGAGAAGACAAGTGCTGTTATACTGGCAAAGGGAGGTTGCACAAATTATTAAATGCTTGGGTGGCAATAATCGTGGCACATGTGTTTTTGTTGAAAGTATTTATTTCTTGATGACGGATTTCTTTTTCTTGGATTAAATTTATTTAAATGAAAGGTTGGATTTTTCTCATTTTTTCAGTGTGTTGAAGCTGCTTCACCAACAGGTGTATTTTTTCCAACCCTTTCTACCATCTTTACAATCGGTGCCAATAACCGTTGAGGGCACTATAGGTACTGGTGTGAAGGTGTGAATATGCACGATAAACTGAAATAAACAGAAAGATTCTGGCACAAATCTCCAGTGTAGATTACTGACTGTTCCCTTATGTGTGAAAACCTCATGAAAGATATATTTTAAAGGGTCACGACTGTTATCGTGCTTGATGCACTGAAGCACAATGATATTAACTCAGAAGCAAGAGGCACCTGCTTGGCATTGAAAGGGAGATCAAATCCAGAAGAGCTGAAGCAAGCATGGCCAGTGAAGAACAAGGCATTGAGGGACGATAACAGCAGCAACAAAGACCGCGGCCTATTCAGAAGTACAGACTACAAAATGGTGGTCGCATGGGGATGATTTACTGATAAAGCGCGGGGGGGGGGGGAATTAAGAGGCGACCACAGGTGTGAAGAAAGGGCTCATAAAAGGGCTAGAAAAGGGGGGGGGGTGTTTAAAGGGAGCTTTGAGGTAAGATTCTCTCTTCTTAAAAGAAGATAAAATCCCTTTGTCAAGTTTCAGCTTATGTAACTCAAAAACAAAACTTGTTGGTCCATTGGAGAAAGCAAGACAGGCATAAGAAAAACACCATAACTGAGCCCTAAAATTATAAAGCGACTTTTCCAGTTCCATCACTTTTATAGTGATGGACGGCATCCATGTTCAGCCAACGCAAACAGTCTTTTATACACGACGGTGGGCTTGGCTTGGCCTGTATGGCGAATATCAGCAGAACATTCAATTAACAGTCGCAGAAATGGCAGCTTTCAAGGGCAAAGAGGAGCCGGCAAGATGAAGAGAGGGTGCTTTCCACACCCGCCCTACACCGAAATGGCCGGTGCTTTAACAGCCCAGGGAGACCTGAGACCTTCGCTATAATGATCCTGACGAGTCTCTTCATGACAGCGCAAGCCGATACTTACTATGCACAATGATTGTTAGGCAGCTGAGCTGCATATTATTTGTTCGAAGATCACGTTTTAAGAAGCATATGTCCCTGGATAGAGGCAGCCGGCTGGAAATGCTGTCACTGTATAGGGCTTCGATAAACAACCAAATTAGATATGGAAAGTATCTGTAGCCAGAAACATTACCTAATCTTACTTACACTCCATGACTCTACATTGATATTTCATTCAATTGCTCCATTACACAATGCAACCAAACATGAATTACACACTACTACAGTGTTTAAGACACAATTACATTAGCCTCATTACTCTATACAACAGCTATATATTATACACAGCTAATATTACTTGCAGACCAAAGAATCTTTTGCTTTAATGAATCAGTTCCTCACAGGGAAAAGTCAGGAAAGCTGTGACACAAACCATCCATGGAAGATCGAAAAATAATCTAACCCGAGACACCACTAAGACTATCCTGCCAGTTCAAGCAGAAATTCTGCTCCAGACTGTGCGGACTGGAGGCTGAGTCATGTCACTGCAGACGACACATAGTGGTCTGGCACTGGCTGGATTCCCCTGGGGATGCCCCAGCACCTGGTGCACCTGGAGACAGGAAGGAGATCCGCACACACACGCCTCAGACTGAGGCACCAGCGCGCGTGCCAGGCAGCTCGTGGGACATCATGCAGCATAGCAGCCAGGGAGTTGTTTAGAAGGTTGCTGGTTTCTAAAATAACTATACTGTTGCTTCTGTAGCTCAAGAATCCTAAAACAATAGGATATTAAATAGAAACACAAGCAAAGCTGGGTCTAGTTCTATCAACTCAAATGTACTGGTATTCCTAGCACTGAGAACCTGACCTCCACTCACTCATAACACCTCTAATGTGCTTAAAGTCCTATCAAGAAGTGCATGACCTCTCCTGGTCTGTAACAGCACTGATGTTCTTGTGTAGTGCATGACCTCTCCTGGTCCGTAACAGCACTGAGATTCTTGTCCTAACCGGCAGTGCATGACTTCTCCTCGTCTGTAACAGCACTGATGTTCTTGTGCAGTGCATGACCTCTCCTGGTCCGTAACAGCACTGAGATTCTTGTCCTAATCGGCAGTGCATGACTTCTCCTCGTCTGTAACATCACTGATGTTCTTGTGCTCCTAATCGTCAGTGCTCATTTGCTTTTAACACTTCTAATGTTCTTATTTTCCTAATTCTGAATATATAATCTCCTTACATACTCAGATGATCTTATATTCTTACTTAATTCCTAGTTTTGAGTTTGCATGGCCTCTTTGTAATATACTCATTCTAGCTCCGTAATTTCATCAGCTTATGTCCTAGCTAGGGGAGAACTCAGCAATGAAGGATCTCTCATACCTCCAGAGCTGCAGGTATGAATGTTTCCTCCCAGTTTCTCCCGCAATCCAAAATTTAATAGTTCCTTAGTGTGTCATTGTGAATGCATACTATATGCAAATTCCCTGAAAGCGCTGCTGAAAATCAATATTGTACGACAGGCAATCTAGAGTAAATCACAGACGGAATGTTTGGTGCAACTTCCTTTATTTTCTATGGGTACAATTCTGGGACAAAGAATTCTCCCGCTTCACAAGTCAAACACAAGTAGGCTGACAGAAAATCCCAGTTGGGTAGAAGCGTGTGTTTTTCTGTCCATGCTTTCGCCAATCTTAGCCTTGGGGCAGGATTAAGATCAAGATCAGCTTTTCGTACGACCTCTGTGTTTCCTTGTCAGTTAGGGTGCAAAGGAGGAAGAAACATTTCTGTACAGTAAAATGTGTATTTACCACGATCAAATCTTAACATGTCAACTTGTCACCAAGTTCAACAACTGGGCAAGGCCAGCAACGAAAAAGAAAAATGTAACTATTACTATTGAGATGTTCCTACTAAGATAATGCAGTCAAGTGACTTTGGAAAAAAATGTATGCCTCTGTCAACAATGACTCTCAGAAAGCATATTTGGCATATTTTAGCTGTAAGACAATCCTCACGTACAGCCTGATTAGCTAAAGGCTGAGTTACAGTTCTGCGAAGAATCTAGGCCTAAGTAGTCTTGTAGATGCTTACCCTACGCCGTAGTCTGACAGCCGCAGTTACGATTCTGGTGTGGTGTGCATCAGGCTACGGCAGAAGGTATGCAGCTACGTGGTGTAAAATACTACGCAGAACAGTAAATCATCATCATATTTTAAGGCCTATGAAAAAAGTGAGTGGACCCCTTGTATCCTGATACAGTGCCTTCCGGTGACCCATCTAACCAGGCCGTTGGGTTTGGCTTAAAGAAACAGCAACGGTTCCACTCTCCAGCTTAATAAGAAGGTGGGGAAGTGTGGTGAGATGGAGAGGGGCTCTCAAGGTTAGCGACAATGGGCAGATTAGGCTTGCATGCTCCTTCTCTCTTGTGTTCTTGGGTTTACTTTTAAAGAAGCAGTTGTGGAGCCTCTCCTCACTTTATTGTGACTGCGCCATTGTAAACTCTCCTCTTTGACTGCAACCAAGTCTTTCATACACAATTAAGCTCATTAAATAGCTTTTGTACATTTTAATTAATGGGTTTCAGGAAGCCGAAGCGCAGCTTGTTGTTTCATTGATGGTTTCGCGTTCCACCTCAGTTGATCTGCAACTACAATATACAGGGGCGTCAGTAAAACAAGACATTTCCCTAACCATACTAAAGATAAGGTAGGTCGATAGCTTAAACAGGCGGACAGGAAGGTGACATATATACATATTGTGCAGATGTATTTTCTTTCCTAATGTAAAGGAAATATTTGAAGATCAAATTTCCAAAGCTCAGTCTACTTTTTGCTATTTTTGAGATGGGACCACCAATGACCTAAAGCCAGGCTTCCTCATCATATGTTACAAACTGGGGACCAGAACTCACTCAGTCCTCAATTAATCCAATTAAATGAGGACTTTCGTTAAAATTCCAAAATTCACTAAACCCAGCGAATTTTTCTCGAAAACATATCATCTGCTCTTCAGGTACATTATCATAAACCCCTGAGCATTTTCTTTGGTGAATACGGTTATGTTTAGTGAAATTCTTACCTCTAGACATTTATGACATATACTCAATCATTCTGGAGATATTTAGCTAGGCTGATGTGCTACCATACTCTTGATAAAATTCATTCCAGAGATTTCCATGCGAAACCAGTTTGCAGGGAGTTGTGGTCTACCAGCCATCAGCATATACCACGCAGTGGAACCAACAACTTTATCTCAGGACCCTTACAGAGCACAGCTTGGCATTGTCGGACGCTTCAGTTCCAGCGTGAGCACATTGTCCTGGGGGGCTAACAGTGGGGAAGGAAGAACGTTCCATGCTTCCTAGAGTCAGAGGGGGGTCCTAACCCCCTAAGAGGGGGGCAGCCCACAGGTTCACCCCTTCAAACAATAAACATCCATTCACCCCCCAGCAGGAAGTCATCATCCTCCAGGAAATGAGATGAAAGTTTGGACCGAGAAGAAAATTGAGTTTTCTCCAGCGTCTGATATCTCCTTTAGAAAACGGACAAAAAAAAAAACTCCCACAGGAAGATCAGGCGACAACCAGAGGAGGAAAAGTTTGTATTTGGGATCAAACTGCCTTTTAAGCCTCCCGTCTCCCCGCTGGGAAACCCGCTGTCTGATGTATTAGGTGATTACGCACCTGGAAGCTGGGATGGTTACAGTTATTTGTAAGTGTGTGTCTGTGTGGATTTTCTCAAACTACAGTGGGACTGAAAGGGAAACCATTGTTTATTCTGGGATACCTGTAATCTAAAGACACGGGGGTTCATTTTTAACAGCTCACAATGCCAATGCAGTAATAAAGCCCTCTTCTTAAAAACAGCAAGTATGAATCTGAGAATCCCATACGGAATATTCCATTCCTCACGCCCTGTACTTTCTGGGATAATCTCCTGGTTACTGGGACCCTGTACTGGGTAAATGGTTATGGAAAATGGAAGGACAGAGTATCTCCCAGTTCATATTCCCATTTACACCTTTTGCAGTCAAATGCCCTGCTTGTCTGCTCTTTAGGTCAAATTCGTTATTGCTCACGATTACCTTTGACCTTTACATTTTATTTATTTAACAGATACTTTTAATACAAAGCAACGTATAATTAAAAACAGAGTTCTCTCGTGTGGTTCCCTGATGGTGGAATGAGCTGTAGAACCACGTCTGGTTATCAGACTCAAGACTCATGTGCTCCATGATACTAGCCTGATGCCTCTTTAAGTTCCGTGAATGTTCTTATGTTGCATGTCTGGTTCTTGAATAGTCTAATTGGTTCTTGCTTTGTTAATAGTTGTGTAGCTCCTGCTCAAATTTTGCTTACACTTGTACCTGGGCGTTCATTGGAAGCTCAGCCTAGCTGGACTTATGCCAAGTCCCCTGCTCGGCAGTCATGTTCCTCATGTGCTATTTCACTCACTTGTTCATCGCTTCGGACAACAGTGTGTGTTAAGTATGTAACTGAGAAGGCAGGGCCAGACCATCCCTGGAGCGATTAAGGCCTTTGCTCAAGGGCCCAATACTGAAACCACCCAAGGGACTTGAACTAGCAACCTTCCGATCAGAGGTGCAGTATTTTAACCCCCTGAGCCACACACCGCCCCCAAAAATCCCAGAGCTTGGATGTCAGTAGGATGCTCTGTCCGGACCTGCTTCTCTCCTCGTCCTTCTGCAAAGCCACAAAGAGTAATATGTAATATGTAAGCGATTGACCCGGAAGGGTGCTGGCCCCCCACTACTGGCAGCAATGGGAAGCCTCCCGCTTCAGGTATCCGTCATCCTCACCCCAAGCTCCCTCAGCAGGGTTTCACAGTCCATTAGCACCCCGTGCCGCAGTCACAACAGACGCACGCCGCGCCCCACTGGTCTTTCTCCACATAGGGGAATGAGGAAACACCATCTACAGCTTACCCGCTAACAATTCAGCCATTACCTACGGTTTTTGCTGCCATCATCGTCGCCATCGAAGCCTCGTGAGGGCAACCGTCTCCCGACTGCTTCAGACATGCGGCCGCGATTCTCGGCACTGGCGCGAGGCAAAAGGACAGCTCCTCGCCCCCGCCGCCAGGCACGCCCGGGCACAGTCCCTAAGCGCCTTGGCAGCCTTAAGAGGAAACTGGCCCTCCATCTGCAGGTGCTTTTCTGCAGCTGGCAAATCCTCCGGAGCTCCCTGTCAACACAAAGCGGCTCGCGGGCCGGGGGACGCACATCACCTTTCGCGGCTGCTAACGGGCAGGCCCACACGGCGGGGAGAGTGCCTGCTCGCGGGATTTGAAACACAATCGCGCTCGGAAGCTCGTCTCAATAAGCCGTAGTCATCCATGACACTTACGGTGTATTAAGCCGGCCAAGCGTTGCGGCGGAACACCAGGTCAGTGCATATTTTCATGAGGTTTTTACGGCATTAAAAGGATTCGGTTACAGGGCGCTCGGCGCAGGCAATGCACACAACATGCTGACTCCCGTCACAGCAAACTGTGCAGGATGCTGTGCTGGGCCATAGGGTTTCCGTTCAGCATGTAGAAGCCATCAGGGGCCTTCAGAGCAGGACGAAGAAACAACATTGTGTAATATGCTGCATGTCAGAAACACTCAGTGACCTTTGGGGCAAACTGGAGACAGTAACTAAACTCCTTTGTATAGACTGGTATGAAAGACTGGTCATGAGAGGACAGGACCAGCGCCACCTTTTTCAATCGTTAACATGTTAAACATAATATCACTGAGCTCTGCCACAGTCCACGTTTAGCAAACCGCTAGAATGTGCAATTCAATGAGCAGGACGTGGTTCTGCTGGGGATAATCCCTGGTCCAGGTGTGGAACAGAGACCTAACCCTACCCCCTCCCATGGCCTCAGGGGATTCCCCCCCCCCCCCCCCTGCCGCCCCCCCACTGCCACAGTTTTCTGGATTACGTTAAATCCTAACCCTTTAAAAAGAGGAGGAAGTTCACAAACGCTTAGCCGAGAGGTGAAAATTAATTCCTTTAACCCCCAAATTACTGAGCTTGTGAGGGGGGGGGACGGTACATCCCTTGTGCTCATTAAAACTGGCCCCGACCCCCACCTTTTGACACTCCTCCTGACCTCCTAACCTTGCCTCATTTTCCTATCATATATACAGTAGACAGAATACATACTATACTAGATAGGGGCGGCGAGTGGCTTAGTGAGCTAAGTGACTGTGCCTGGGATCAGAAGGTTGTTGGTTCGAGCCCCAGCCTCAACAGAAGAATTACATAGCTGTGAGCCCCTGAACAAGTCCCTTAACTCCCAGCTCCAGGGGTACTGCATGCTGGCTAACCCTGCACTGTGACACCCCCCCCCCCCAAGCTTGGTCCCACCTGTCTCTGTGTCTCATGGTTAGCAAGATGGGGTAAGCAAAGAGTATCATGCCAATGTACCTGTGCAAATAAAGGATTGTCTCATTTTAGAGTACATCAATCTTCTAACCATGTTTCCTAGTCTGGATGGCCTGGAACCTGACCTAATCAGCACAGGCAGAAGACTGGGGTAAACCCTGGAAGGGGTGCCTGTGCATCGTAGGGCACATACTCACACAGTCAGACCCTATGGTAGATTATAAATTAGCCTAACTGCACATTTTTGGGCTGCCAGAGGAAGCAGGAGAACCCAAAAGAAACCAACACACATGGGGTGAACTTGCAAATTCCACATGCGGCGAGAACCTGCAAATTCCACACGCGGCGAGAACCTGCAAATTCCACACGCGGCGAGAACCTGCAAATTCCACACGCGGCGAGAACCTGCAAAATCTACACATGGGGAGTACCAGCAAAATCCACACACGGCGAGAACCTGCAAAATCCACACGCGCCGAGAACCTGCAAAATCCACACAGACAGAGCAGATCCGGCACCCAAACCCCAGAGCTGTGAGGCAACAGTGAACTCACTGAGCTACCGTCCCCCCCCCCCCCACATCTGGAGAACCGTAAAGAATGAATAACACCAACAGGAAATCTCACAAAACAGGCAGAAAGCGTAACCTCACTGGCTACAGTCTTCGGCTTCCAGAGAAATTCATATTTTGAATAATCCTTGATCGCGGTCAAGTGTCACTGCCTGAGTCACATGGTCTGAAAGTACTGAAGCGTCCAGTTATGCCTACAGAAGGCCAGTTGATCCTAATCCCCCACGGACCGCGCAGGTTTCCGCAATATGATACTTCAATGGAAGGGGTATAACCAACAGTAACTGGCTTAGCGTAATGAAGTGTGAAACGTCTCTGTGCTGCTTAAAATATCTATTTCTGGAATAACTCTGGGCCTCGCCTCACAAATAACAGCTTTTCAAATGGCAATACACGTCCAGAAGATGTCAAGTGGAGGTCACTGGGTGCTGGCTGTGTTTAACAGACGGGAGAATAACTTGTCCACGTGATTCGATCCTTTAACGAGGACGAAATTAATGTGGATCCAGGGCCTGTATCAGGGGCATGGCTACTACCCTGCCTTCAACTCAGGCTGCTAGATGTCAAGTTCCCTTTGATTCGGCCGATTCACAAAACCAAAGGATAAAAACACAAAACGTTTAAAGTACAATAAAAGTTCTCATAACTGTAATTCAGGTACTGGATACCTCAAGTAACCAGC